ATAATGTTTTTTTCACTGACTGATTCATTGTTAACCTATCCATAGATTCCCAGGCATTCCTTGTAATGATGCTGACCAATGGTCAATTGAGACCCATTTATAAATAAAATCTACTTAAAAAACATTTATTTTATTTTAATGGAGAAATCTAAAAGAAGTACATCTCCAATATCGTATACAGTAACAGTAACACTGTGTGATGATCAACTATGATAGACTTAGCTCTTCTCAACAATGCAATGATCTAAGACAACTCAGGATGGAAAATGCCATCCACATCCAGAGAAAGAAATATGGAGTCTGAATGCAGATAGAAGCAGACTGCTTGCTCTTTTGTTTTTGGGGTTTTTTTTTGGCTTTTTCTCTTTATTGTTTTTTCTTTTACAACATGACTAATTTGGAAATATGTTTCCATGATTGCACATGTATAACCTATATCCGATTGCTTTCCATCTTGGATAGGGAAGGAGGGTAGGAAGGGAGAAAAATTTGGAACTCAAAATCTTATAAAAATGAATGTTGAAAACTATCTTTAGATGTAACTGGAAAAATAAAATACTATTTACGAAAAAAAGAGTACATCTCAACTTGTTTGTCTTTTAAGATGGGGTCTCCTTTTCTGTGGGGGGTGGGGATGTAACCCACAGGCCCAGTCTTAGGCAATAGTTGCTGTCCCCCACCCTTCACCATATCAAGGCCAGACTCCTGAATGCCCCCCCCCCCCCCCCCGGCAATTCAGAGCTGCTGAGCTCAGGAATCCCCCTGCCTCAGCCTCCCAGGTAACCCATTACAGGTGAGGCCCTCCTTCCTGGAGCCATCTTCTTTTAAGATCAAGCGTTAAAACCTGCTGATACACACCTGCAGCTAATAAAAATGACACACAATTCCGTCACCTGCTGAGCACCTTCCGTGCACCTGGCCCTCCGGGATACAAAAGCAACGCAGGATCCCTGCCCTCCAGGATAGAGTCCAGGAGGAGGAAGAGGGCATCGCACAAATTAGCAAAATACAAACTGCAGTTTACTCATTGTGAGACCCCAGACCAGCCACTAACCTGAACCTGAAAAGCTGCAAAACGGCATTGGTGGAGGGAACTTACACAAAAGGAGATCTCTCCCCCTTCCCCGCCCTGATAATTGCAGAGGAGAGGGGGAAATAACCACGGAAAGGTCACTTCTAGTGACCGATTCATCGGAAGCCCCAGGGAGGGGTGCCTCGGATTGGGCTCTGAATTCAGCAGGGTGAGGGTTCAGCAGATGGTAATGTGAGAAGTTAAAATAATTTGCTCAAAGTCACACAAATAGTGTTTAAGAGGCAGGATTGGAACCCGGAGCCTTGGAATCCAGAGATGGTGCTGTTTAAGGCATCAGTCAGGGCACCCCCAGTGGAAGTGGGCTAGGACCATCCCTGACCTCTGCTGGCATCCTGTGCCCCGCCCCTGCCTTCCTCCCCATGCCCAGCGTGGCCCCAGTGGGCCCTTCATGGACCAGCTGAGGGGACCCAGTCTGGGATGAAAGTTCAGAGGCCTCTCCAGGAATGTGGGAGGGACGGGGCCCAGGCTCTCAAGGGGTCACTGCACAGACCCAGGAAGGGGTTTGGCAGCCCCCTCCCCACAGCCTCTTGCTCCTCAGTTCAATTGATCTTGGTGAGGCTGGGGCTACAGGCATGGGTGCTGTTTCTTCTCCTTTCTTTGTGTCCCCAGCACTTGGCACTGTGCCTGTACACAGTAAGCATTTAATAAATGCTGGCTGACTAACAAAAGAGCATGTCTGAGGCTCACACTCTGCTGGGAGAAAAGTACAAGCCAAATAAATCCAAAGTCATTTGTGGGGGGAGGGAAAGACACTAACACCTGGGAGGGTCAGGAACTGGTCCTTGTGAGAGGTGGCACTTGGACTGAGCCTTGAAGCTAAAAAGCTGAGGTGACAAGGGATGGCATGCCTGGCATGAGGGACAGCATGGACAAAGGCAGGGAGGCAGGAACTCCCACTTGCTCCCTATCCATGATCTAAGCTCCAAGTTCTTCCTGTTCTTCCTCAGCAACCTCTCCCTCCTTCATTCCCTGGTCTGGTTCTCATGGCCAACACCCTCATACATAATTCTCTTTAACGCCCACCTGGGCTATTGCGACAGCCTGACAGGTCTCATACTCTCCAATTCCTCCTCCACAGCAGGGCCAGACTTAGTTAAGCTTCCTTGGCCACTTGACCGTGACTCCTCCACTCCAAAGCCTGCAATGGCTGCTGACTGAAAGTGGTCACACATCCTAGAGTGGCATTCAAGGCCCTCCGCTCCTTTCTTTTTAGCCTTATCTTCATCACACAGATCCTCCCTCTCCATGCTCCCAACAAACTTGGCCTAACTGCCACTCCTCTTGATTTCTTACCTCCAAGCCCTTGCTTTCACTATTGTCTGTGCCTGGCATGACCTCCTTACTCTCTCTGCCTATGAGATTCCTATACCTGGGGAGCCTAAGGCAAAGGTCAACTCTTCCAGGAAGTCTATCCTGGTGATAACTTCTTTCCATTATTGTTATTATTTATTATTACAGGGATCTCCTCAATAAGACCACAATTACTCAAAAGAGATTGACCTGCCAATCCATGTAGGAAAAACAAAACGGATGAAAAACTCCTGGGGTGTGGGTTAGGACATTCAGGCAGATAGCCGGCTGCCGAGGTTTACATCTGGCACAGGCCCTGCTGATGGACAATGAGTGAGGCCTAGCCCCCACGTGTTCTCCCACACAAGAACCTAGCTCTGCACATAAATATCTCCCTGGGGATTCTGTGTGGTAGGCTCCTTCCGTAGAATGGAAGCTCCATGAAGGCAGGCATTGTTTCATTTTTGTCTATGTATCTCCAGACCTGGGAGAGTGCCTGGCACATAGGCAATACTCAATATGTGTCTGTTGAATTAAACAATTAAATAATTGTGGTTCCTGTAACAGCGGAGGGAGGGAGGGCCTGCTTCAGTGAAAAGGCAGCTATCTCAGAAGTGGGGAGGAAGGAACAAATCTAGGGAATTAGGAGGGCATTTATTAATCCCTTATGATTATTCATGATTTATCCCTGAAGGGCGAAACCAAAGGAGGGGGTCAGAAGCACAGCTGCCCCAATTTGGCTGGAGGCTTGGCCGCTTCTAGGGGAGTGACCAGCTTCAGGCCGGGGTCTAGCCTGAAGCTGGTGCCAAGTTCTGCCATTTCCAGATGGAGCAGAGGGAGGGACAAAGCCATCCTCTGTCGAGGCGGGGTCCTCCCGTGGGGGGCCTCCAGAGCCGGCCCGGAGCTTCTCACTCTGCTTTTCCCTCATACAGAGATCTCCCGGCTGATTTCCTGGGGGGCCCCGGACTCTCTGGGGAGGGAGGTCTGACCAGCCACAGGAACTGGCAGCTCAGCCTTCCGATCTCAGGCTGGGACTGGGACAGATGACCCACTGGTAACTTCAGGGGCTCAGAGCCAGGCCGGGGTCTTGGGACACCCCCAGCTGTAAAGGCGACAAGGGCAAGGAGCAGGCCCGCACAGTCAGGCCGGCGCTTCTGGGAAAGGCTTGTTTGCGCTCTGAGGTTCGTGTGGGAGGGAGGAGGCAGCTTGAGAACAGTGGGGGTTCTATCTCTGGTATGGCCCTGAACTCATAACGTGAGGCAATCCCGAACATTTCACCATGCCAGCCACTCCCTGGGAGATGCCTCCATCCACCAGGACGGAAGGCAAACCCTCCAGCAGAGCGGGACCCCGGGCTTGCTGATTCCTGGCCACCTGACCTTGGGCTAGACCCTCCTGTCCCCTGGGCCGGCCGGATCGGCCCCCAGGTTCCTTCCAGCCGTGACCACGGACTGTGGGGACTGAGATGCACCTGGACGAGATGCCCCCCTCTGACAGCCAGGACCAGGGATCATCCTGGGGGGAGCCCTGCCCACTCCGGGGAGTCGACTCCCCCTTGCCCAGGACAGTCTCTCAAATACTTAGGACAGATACCATCCTCCCTGCTCCTCCCTAAAGTCTGTTCTTATCTAAGCTAAACACTCCTAGTTCCGGGCGGGTGGGCAGAGCCCTGTAAGGTGGGCACGACCCCCCCACCCTTGAGGCATGCATGGTCCCCCCACTATCCTCGAGGCAGGCACGGCCCCACCACTACCCTCGACGCAGGCACAGCCCCACCACTACTCTCGAGGCGGGCACAGCCCCACTGCTACTCTTTTCTGATCAATGGCCTGCCTACAAGGGGCACCATAACCAGTCCTGTTCCCCACCCAGCACTGGTCTGGAAGCATCGCTCTCACTAGCCCACAGACTCTGGATCTCCATGTGGAATGAAGATCCTTTAAATGGACCTTTTAAGAGAGTGCAGGAAACCCGGCCAGATGCCCCACTCCACAACAAAGCCCCCCGAGTGAATGCTATTTCTTCCCAGAACCAAATCATCTTATCCCACTGGGCCTCAGTTTCCTTCTCCAGAAAAAGAGGGGGTTGCACCTGATGCCCAGACATGGCAAGGTATGACTAGAGCGCACAGACCACCCAGAGTGAGGAAGATCTGAGTTCGAATCTAGCTTCAAACACTGACTAGGTAAGCCACCCTGCCTCAGTTTCCCCAACTGTAAAACAGAGATAATAGCACCTACCTCTGCAGGGTTGTTGTGAAGATCAAATGGGTTTACATGTAAAGTGCTCTGCGGTAGGCAACACTTATTGTTATATCTTTTTTTTTTCTTTTTTTGCTTTTTTTGGCTAGGCAATGGGGTTAAGTGACTTGCCCAGGGTCACACAGCTAGTAAGTGTCAAGTGTCTGAGGCCAGATTTGAACTCTGGTCCTCCTCACTCCAAGGCCAGAGCTCTATCCACTGTACCACCTAGCTGCCCCTGTCATATCTATAATTATAATAACTGTAGTTCCTACTGAACCCTCTGCCTCCTTTCACTACGAGGGGGCTGTTCTGTCAGCCCAGGTCTGCATTTTTGGGGGAAGGGCCTAGCTGGGAAGGCCTGGGGCCCACAATACCTTGTCCTTGGTAAACAGGCTATAAAGCCGTTCAGGACAACACTCTTTAAATTGTGAAACCCTCCTCTTGCTGTTCCAGAATCTGCTGAGTAACCGAGGGCTGGATGGCTTGCGTGTAATAACTCCTCCGGGGAAGGAGAGCCTTTGACAGGCACACCTGTGAAACTTCATCAACCCGGGCATCAGAAAGAAGATGGAGCTCCAGAGGCCAATGAGGCCAGCACCCACGCCTGGTACACGCCAATTCCTGGGTTCCATCGGAGACTGAAGACGCCCACCCAAGCAGGCCTCCAGAGAGAGCTGGGGGCAAAGAGATCTGGGACTGGAGCTGCAAAGCCGGGGTGCCTGGCTGTGGGCCGTGGATGAGGCAGCTGGTTGGGGAGTCATGGGCCAAGGAGGTGACCTCTCCACCTGGCTGACTTTGGGCAAGTTTCTTCTCTCCTGGGGGCCTCATCTTCCTCATCTGTAAAGTGGGGAGACTGAACCAGTTGGCATCTGATTCATGGCCTAGGATGCTACGCCCTTGACTTTCACCATCACATCTTTACCTGCTGTAAAATGGGAATCACAGACTTAGCACCTGAGATCTGTCACTGCAGTCTGCACCCATCATGTGAAGGAAGCCAATTATGTGGAAATTCAGTTATTTTCCTACTTAAAAAGGCTGAGAACCCCTCCTCTAAGACTACAGAGGAGACAATGATGTCTAGGGGGAGGGAGCTTCCGCACCAGAAGGCCCCCCAGGCCCCTGGGTTCAGGCCCCTGGGTTCAAGGCAGGAAACCTCCAGGGGCCAGCCACTGAGCTGTGGGGTCGGAGCTTGGGCTGATTCTGGAGCACTGGCCCCCAGGGCATCCTTAGCTCTCTGGTCACCAGGTGGGTGCTGAGGGGCAGCTCGGCTGTCAGGGGAAGTCCTGAGGCAGTTTTAAACTGGCCTGAGCGTTCCAGAAGAGAAATGAGCTGCAGCCAAAATGCTTCCAGGGAATGAGGAAGGGAGATCTCCTCGACTCAGTGCCATAAGCACAGACTGGCCTACTCTGTGCCAGGCCGGAGACAGGAAAAGAAGCGTTCCTGCCCTTAGACACTTACATGCTACCCGACTTCCGCTGGCACATGACGCCTTTGAGGAGCCTGTGTCTGGGCTGGGGGGTAGTGGGGGGGGGATGATCCTCTCTTTGGCTCCAGGCAGCCGTCACAGCATCACAGACTTGGAGTGGACAGGACCACCTAGTGCAAGCCCTTCCTTTTACAGCTGAGGAAACTGAGGCCTAGGAAGCACAAGGGCGGGATTCCCACCCAGGTCCTCTCTCTCCACTGCACCAGGCAGCCAGTGCACGCATGCTCCACTGGCTTTGAACACTTCAAAGGGCTCTATAAAGTCAGTGACTGGCGAGGCTCTCAGCTATTAACATGAGCTCCCTGAGAAAGGCTTCACTTTACCTTTGAACTCTCAGACCTGGGACATTTAAAAAATGTAGATTATTAGACCTAGGATTTCATTTCTGAGAGGACTCTCCCTCCACCAGCACAGACTCCCTTTCTTAAAGGGTCACCAGGGGTCCTGAGGGATTAAATTACTAATAGATGACTCAGACCCAAGTCTCCCAGATTCTGAGGACCATTCTCTACCCACTCAAGTGGACACTCAATGCTTATTTAATTCAATTCAGCACCTCGTGCACAGGAGTGGCTAATCCTAATCTCGGATCAGACCCCCTGCCCAAGAAGGCCCACCCATCTGACCCATGGGACCGCCAAGGTCAAGGTCGGTACTGCCCCAGTATATGGGACTTTGTCGCTGTATGTCACATTTCACCTCTCCAAGAGCATCCAGAGCCACTGCAGGCTTTCTGGGCCCCTGCCCCACACCTGGAAGATCCCAGAGGCTAACCAACAGCTGGAAGAGGTTACATAAATGCAGAATCCTCACCCAGTTGAGTGGCCATGGACAAGTCAGGCCTCTCTGAGCATCTATGAAGCACCTACTAGGTACCAGGCACTGGGGATAGATAGGATGGGGGCTGAGCATCTATAAAGCACCTATTTTGTACCAAGCACCGGTAACAGACAGGATAGATAGGGGCTCTGCAAATTCTATATCTGGCTCCAGCACTGACAGATTCCTTGCCTTGCTGGGGTTACACAGATAGTGAAGTGGCTGAAATAAGCCTTGAACTCAGCTTTTCCTCGGTGGGAGGCTGAGCTCGAAACAGAAACCTGTACACCTACTAAGGCTTGGTGCCTTAGCTGGACCTTGGGGCCAGACCCTTCCCACCTTCTCGGGCCCCTTCCCCCAAGGACATCATCTGTGCCCCAAAGGGCAGAGGGACATAGTGCCTGCCTTAGACCATCATTCTCCCCAGGAGATTCCGCCACTGTAGTGAAGGGAGTGGCCCCTATTCTCAATGGCGCCTTCAGCTGTTGCACAGTCCATCCTTCATTCTTTTTTTTTTTTGGTGAGGCGCTTGGGGTTAAGTGACTTGCCCAGGGTCACACAGCTAGTGAGTGCTATGTGTCTGAGGTCACATCTGAACTCAGGTCCTCCTGACTGCAGGGCCAGTGCTCTATCCACTGCGCCACCTAGCTGCCCCCATCCTTCATTCCTGCAGCCAGTTAAGCTAGGTAGGCAGGCCTTCCAGCCTCACCTCTGGGCAGTGTGCCTGCCTAGGACTCCCGCCTTCCTCACCTCCAGTTTGGGCTCCTTCCCTTCACAGCTCAGCCCAGCTGCCACCTCCTCCAGAAGCCTTCCCTGACTCTTCCAACCCAAGTCCAGCTCAAAGGGATCTCTCATTTGGGTCTATCACGCCTCATTCTTTGTCCTCCATCTGTGGGAGAGCTGCACTTGGCCTCAGACACTTCCTACCTGTGTGACCCTGGGCAAGTCACTTCACCCTGTTTGCCTCAGTTTCCTCATCTGTAAAATGGGGATAATAGCAGCACCTACCTCTCAAGGTGGTTGTTGTGAGGATCAAATGAGATCACCTCTGTAAAGTACATTTGTTGTTTCTTAGCCACTTCTGTTGTGTCCGACTCTCTGTGCCCCCATCTGGGCTTTTCTTGGCAAAGACACTAGAGTGGTTTGCCAGTTCCTTCTCTAGCTCATTTTACAGATGAGGAAACTGAGGCTAACAGGGTGAAGTGACTTGCCCAGGGTCACACAGCTAGTAAGTGTCTGAGGCTGGATTTGAACTCAGGAAGATGGGTCTTCCTGACTCTCAGCTTGGTGCTCTATCCACTGCCCCACCTTCGAAGTACATTACATACCTTAAAACACTATGTAAGTGCTTGCTATTTATTACTGTCAGACTTCCTTCTGCGCCCCGTACCCTCTTTAAGGGCAGGGAGTGTCTCACTTTCGTATCTGTATCCCCAGCACAATAGGGACCAGAGTTAAATAAATCTAGAAGAGGAGAGATCACTAGGAAGGAGAAACAAGAGCAGCAGAAATCAGGGAAGGCTTCCTGAAGAAGGGGGATAAGTCTTGAGGGAGGATAAGGATTCTGAGAGACTGAGATGTGGTTTGTACAAACACCCATAGGCCAGAGATGGGGAGGTGTGGCGTTCGGGGCAAGAGCTAGCCCAGCATAGCAAGAATGCAGAGCATTGGAAGACCAGGCTGAAGCTGATGGTGGAGGGCTTTGCAGTTTAACCTTGGGGCCATAGGGAGCCATGGAAGTTTTATGAGCTGGGCAGTAACCGTCTTCCAAGGTACAAGGCTGGTTAATTTCAGCAACTGTGGGGAGGATGGATTATCAAGGGGGAGAAAGGAGAGATCAACAGACAGGACAGAACAAGGGTGGTGGCAGTGTGGGGGGGAGAGTCTGTGTGGGTAGACTGAGGAAGGCGGTGACAGGCAAGGGGCAGGGATGACTGTGTGATCCATCCCAGGAGGATCGGGGTTAGATTAGCATCGGGGTGAATCATTACACACTTGGAGACAATCCTCTCTTTAGCTGAGGGTGGAGAAGTTTGTCCAGCAACAGCATGCCCACGGAGAGTTAAGCCAGCTCAGAGCTTTTCCCCTCATTTGCATAAGATTGCAATTCAACCAAACAACATCCTAGGTGCAGATCTTGACTGATACTGATCTCTAACCTTCAGGTTTCAGGCAAAACGTCATTTAAAGGCCTCGGAGTGAGAGTGGGGGTCAGGCTGAGGAAGGCGCCCTGTGTCCTTGGCTGTTACTGCCCGTCTTGGGCCCCAGTCCACCCGGCACAGGCCACTTCTCCGGAGTCCGTGCTGGCGCATTTAGGGGTGGGAGTAAAACTGATTGGGACAAGCTCACAGACAAAAGGAAACCTGTTTGTCCCACGGAGATGAGATAGTTGGTGCCTTTCTTTTCCTTGCACTAATGAGGGCTGGGCACCACCCTGAGCTATTATTAGGACTGTTCTGGAATTATTGTTAGCACACGCGGACAAACATCCAACCCCCTTGGAGAGGCCCACTCCTACTGGACCAGGTGCTGGCCTAGGGCGCTTACCCTCACTGCAATACCGGTTGGTCCAGGCTGGGGTGACTTGCCTATGACTGGTGGAAGGTTTTTATGAGGAGGGGAAAAATACCCCAAGATTTCCTTTTTCCCACAGCTCAGAGCTTTAGAAGAGGCTCTAGCTGGCAGGGCCCTTTGAAGCCATCTCATTCAACCCTCTTATTTTATACAGCTGCAAAATGAGGCCCAGAGAAAGTCAAGGCACTTGGCCAGGGTCACACAGGTGGTTTAAGCGTCAGAGGCAGGATTCAAACCTAGGTCACGGGGCCACAGTTCTAGTCTGAAGCAACTTTTTTTCATTGGTCTCTCTTGGAGGAAATCTGCTTCTGTTCCACCAAGATTATGAAGGGAGTAGAAGAGAGCCTGGAGGCCTGGCTTCCAGTCCTGGCTTGAACTAGGCTTATGACTTGGGACAAGTCACAAACTCCCTGTGCCTCAGTTTCCCCATCTGTAAACTGCTTACCACCCACTGTGTTTGTCTGGCAGACTAGAGCACACACTAGAAGATTCTTCAGAAAGATCCAAATTAGGAAGCTACCAGGAGGGGGAATTGTCACCTAGCCCTCCTTCCCAGCACCAAAGAGCTCTCTCCCCACGCCGGGGTCAAGGAATCCTAAAATCCTAGAACAGCAGAAGTGGGAGGGGGGGAAGGGGGGGCTCCCGGCTCAATCTTCCTTAGAATGTCAGACTTAAGGGTCCTTCGATTTCCTCCCTTGGCGGGTCCGTGCCCGAGGGATTGATTCCTCCCCATTTCTTCTCTGTTCGAGCCTAGATAATCCCCTCGAATCGCTTCTAATTTCCCGTTTCCATCCCCGCCCCATCTGGGAGTGAGGCAGAGCTAAGCTTCCGAATCTCGTCTACACTGTCCCGGCTAGCCGCACAGTGAGTGAGGGAGTGGAAGGAGACCCCAGAGTCGGAGGCCTCTCCGTTGGCATCCTGGCTCTGCAGCCTATGTGACCTTAGGCCAGTCCCTTCACCTCGTCTCAGCTTTCCCCCTCTCAAAAAAAGGAGAGGTTGGCTTGGATGCACCCTAAGGTTCCGGCCCGGCTCTGAATCCCAGGGAAGCGGGGGAGCGTGCCACGATGTTCGTTACCTCCTCGACGCCGCCGCCGCCGCCGGTCTCGACGCCTCCTGGGGCTGGGGCAGCCGTCGGGGGCTTATCTTCTCTAGCCTCCTGCTCTTTGACCTCACCTCGGGCCGGCCCGCTGCCGCCACCGCTGCTACTACCGCCAGGGTCTCCAAGGCCCGCTTCCCCGCTCGCCTCGGTCGGGGCGGCGTTCCCCAGCAGGGTCGGGGGCCCGTCGGCGCCCCCGGCCGAAGCCACGCACTGCACCAGCCAGGCATCCACGTGCGTGCACGGGATGAAGAGGACCCCCAGCGCGCGCACCTCCTGCAGCAGCCGCTGCCCCTCGGACGGCAAGGCTGAGTCCCCGTCCGGGCGCTTGGGATGCGGCTGGCCCCAGCCCCCGACGGCTCCTTCTTGGAAGGAAGGCAGCGCGTAGGCGGCGCCGCCGGGGCTCCCCTGCAGCGTCCAGGGATCCCGAAGCAGGGGCGGCGGCGGGGGGAGCAGCAGATAGAGGTCCAGGTCCACGCGGAGCCCCGCTAGGCTCAGCAGGACGGCCAGGTGCAGGAGGCCGCCGCAGCCCTGCGCCCAGGACGGCTTCAGGTACATCATCCTCGCTCCCCGACGGCTCCGGGGGTCAAGCCGCGCCCGCCACCGCCTCCCGGCCTCCCCGTGCCCAGGAAGCGAAGAGAAAGAGAAAGCCCGCAGCCAAGCCTGGCGTCCCCCGGCGGGGCCCTGAGAACGCCCGCAGCCGGCCACTCGGGGAGGCGAGCGCGGGGCACGGCCGGGGAACCGCGGGGCTAGAGGAGGACTGCGAGGAGGAAGAGGAGGATGGAGGACGGAGGATGGGGGATGGAGGAGGAGGGGCAGGAGTAAGAGCCGGAGCCGGAGGAGCCTCCCCCCCCGCCCGTCAGCCCGCCCCGCCCCGTCCAGCCTCCCTCCACGCCCTCCACCCCCGGAGCCTAGGAGAGGCCCCGCCCAGTCCAGCCTCTTCCCTTCCTGGTGCCCGCAAAAGGCCCCTCCCCGTCCAACCTCCTCCTCTCCCTCCACCCCCAAAGCCGCAGGAGGCCCCGCCCCAGCCAGCCTCCCCCTCCGCTCCCGAGCCTGTGGGAGCCTTCACCCTCGGAGCCAGAGGGCTGCCACGCCCCGTCTGACCACAGCTGGAGAGCCCAGCGCCCCCGCGGACACTGATGGGCCCTGCTCCCCACCCCCGCCCCCCAGCCGGAGGGCCCATTTGGGGCCACGGTCCCCCTACCCGGCGGGGGGTGGGGTGGGGGCTGTCCAGCGTGCCGGGAGGAGGTTTTGTGTTGGTTTGGGTTTTCCCGGCGCCAAATGTGGTTGGTCTAAGACAGCCTGAGCTGAACCTAGGCTGGGGTGTCCGGAAGGGGGGGGGGGCGGCGATCTGGGGGAGGGGGGGGTACGGGAGAAGCCGAGAGAAGATCGGCCAGCCGTCTAGGAAGTCCTGTTTAACTCTGTTACACTTGATGCAACTCGGGAGGCTGCCTGGTGAGGGGTGGGGGCAAGCGCTGGACTTGAAGCCAGGAAGGGGAGAGAGCCCCGGAATCGTGGTTTGGCCACCTGCGGGTCCTTGGGCAAAGCACACCTCTGAGCCTCAGTTTCCTCATCTGTAAAATGGAGACAATAATACCCATAATTCCCCACTGGCAGGATTCTTGTGAGTTTGAAAGCCTTAGGACACCCTGTAAAGGTCAGCTGTAATTTGAATGATGGGTTCCTCCAAGGATCTTACTGTTCCCGGGACAGATGGAATGAAAGGGATGTGTGTGCATGAAGGAAACTAGCAATTGGCCCAGATGGCCATGTTGCAGAATTGGGCCGTCAGTTAGACCAGCTGGAGCTGACCAGACACGGATCAATAATGGGGAAAGTCGGCTTCCGTGAGTGGCCTGATTTCACATCAGGCCCTTCCAGAACTCTCTGTGGCCTCGAAACCCGGGCCTATTTGTTCTCTGAAATTGGAGCTCATCTCCCATCTCCAGGCAGGTGAACAGCCTCCCTTTCCTTGCCTGAAAAGAACTTCGTCCTTCTCCCTGCCTTTTTGAAACCTCTACCTTCAAGGCTCTTTAGGGGATGCCTCTTCCAGAAAGCCCTCCCTGATCCTCAGTGGCTGCCGTTACTCTTCCCCCTTCACCTAACAGTAGCCCACAGAGACAGAAATACTATAAGACTAGACTGCAGTGTAGAGGCAGCATCGATGCAGAGAGTTGGGCTTGAAGTCACGGGGATGTCCCAGAGCAGGAAAGTCGGCTGCCCGATACATAAAGATCCCTGCAGGTCACATATTGATTTAGGCTTAATTTAATTTAAATTTAATATTATCTATGATTTATTGTATTTTTATTTTGCTAAATGTTTCCCAGTTTCATTTTAATCTGGTTCAGGCTGACCCAGATTACGACTCTGCCCTCTCTTAAGACTTTAAACTTCAGAGAAGGTGCAAATGACCTATTGGTGGAGGGGCTTTCTTCACCTGGGAGTTTCCTACACCAGTGCAGTCATGGGTCCAATCTCTAGCCCTACTATGTGCCAGGCTGATAAAGGCCAGCTATTTTTATCATGAATATGCTGTTATGGCAGGCTAATGAATAGTTTGTCTACCTAAAGGAGCCGGTGGAGGAGAATGTTTGTTACCTAGAAGTGGTTGTCTGTCTTAACCTTTTGCATATCAAGTCCTGACTTGTAGGTCTGTAACCTATTCCAAGAATGCCCTTGGATAGCTGTGGAGAGCCTGGGGACAGTGGCCGGCCCCCAGCGTTCTCCCCCAAGGGGCCAACACCTTGGCCCTAAGCTTTTAAAAAACTGCTGTCTTCTGTTCTTTTGGGATGCTAGCCACTGGAAATGGGCATAATTCTTTGATCAAAGAGAGCAGGCAAGAGGAGAGAGAGCTATCTTTGGAGTCAGTAAGACCCTGCGTTCAAATCCTGCTTCAGACTGACTCTGGACAGTCACTTACCTCTCTGTTTGCCTCAACTTTTTCATCTGTAAAGTAGAGATAGCAATAGGACCTACCTCACAGGGTTGTTGTGAGGGTCAAATGAAATAATATATAAGTGTGTTATAACCTTAAGGCACCATGGAAATGTTAGCTGTTATCATTATTATCATATGTATATATATACATACACACACATGTATATATATATATATATACACACACATGTATATTCAGTCGTGTCTGACTCTGTGACCCTATTTGGGGTTTTCCTGGCAAAGATACTGGAGTGGTTTGCCTTTCCTTCTCCAGATCATTTTACAGATGAGGAAACTGAGGCAAACAGGGTGAAGTGACTTGCCCAGGGTCACACAGCTAGTAAGTGTCTGAGGCCAGATCTGAACTTAGGAAGATGAGTCTTCCTGACTCCAGGCCTGGCCCTCCATACATTGTGTTACTTAGCTACCCCCAAATATACATACACATACATATATATACGGATGTATTTACAGATACACAATACACATACACATATTTTATGTGTATGTGTATATGCATATGCACATGTGTATATATATATGTATATATGTATATATATATATAGATAGATAGATAGATAGATATATGAATAGAAAATCTCCCCTGAGTCAGGTATATCCCTCCACTCCCTTTTCAGCTTCCTTTTGTGTACTCATTAGATTGTAAACTCCTTGTGGGCAGGGACTGTTTTTAAGTTTTTTGTATCCCCAGGCTTAACACAGTATCTGCCAATAGTAGGTGCTTAATAAATGTTTATTGACTATTATAATGGAAGTCAGGAAGACCCCGGGGTCAGGTCTTGCTTCTGACATACCAGGACAGAGGTTGCCTCATCTGAGCACCCAGCCCAGTCCCTGGCACACAGAAGGCACTTAATAAATATTTTTTGTTGCTTGCTTGATTGGATAACCATGAACAAATCACTTGACCACTTGGTGTTCCAGCAGCTTTTAATCGGTGTGGGTTACAGAGGAGTGTAAGTCCACATTGGTCAAAGGGGTTTCCACACCAGGAGATCCTTACACTGTTGGGGGGTCCAGATCCCTCTATCCCCCATCCCCTTCCTCTCTTTTTCCAAACTGGCAGGACCAACCTCTCAATTAAGCCACTGAGGCATTAGAGTCTACAGGTCCTATTTCCCAGCTCGGTGAAAAGACCTAAGAACCCTTTTAAAGGTCCAACACATGCTTACCTCGCCTGTCAACTGGAAAACAAGTCTGTTTAGTGCAGGGAGTGCATGCAGTCGGTATCAAAACTCTGGAATGTAAAGGACTACATGTATGCATTCACAGCTGCAGTGGATGAGACATTTGTCCACTGGGCTGTGAAAGGAGAAAGTTTATGCATGAGCTGATTTGCTAGAGACTTAGAAGCAACCTTTAGGCTAGTCAAGGGTTATCTTTGCCTGGATCTCACAGGACCTAGAGCCAGAAGGGACCCTGGGAATCCCCAGGGGATTCTTAGGTCAAACTGGTTATTTGAAAGGGAAGGGAACAGGCCTGGAGATGTGGCTGATGTGGGACATGACTCCGTGTCCACTGAGTCGAGGGACCAGCCCAGTTCTGAGTTCAGCGTGTGTTATTCCTGAATTGAATCCTGGCTTGGCCCATGCCTCTTTTCAGTGCTGGACCTGGAGGCAGGAAGACTTGGGATGTCCGTTATACTGATGTCACCATATAGCATCATCAAAGGCAAACGCTGATCGAGTCTGGGGTCGCTGGGGACGTACAGGATCGAGAGGCAGCCCCTGTGCCTCTAGCACCGCCTCCAGTCATTAGCGCTCTCTGCCTCAGAGACTGTGTTAGGCTGGGCCGCCTTCCTTTCTGTCTTTGCTTCCCGAGGTGCTTAATAAATGCTGAATCGAGTTGAAATAAGAGATTTAGAACCCCAGGGGGCTTTTGCCCCCTCAGAAAGGTTAAGTAATTTGTCCGAGGTCACGAAGGCAGAGCTAGGGTTCCGATCCAAGTTTCCTAATGACACCCAGAGTGCTTAAGGAGTTTAGGATTGTCTCCAGCAGTGTACACAATCGTAGAGTCACAGCCAGAAGGGACCTTTGAGGTCATATAGTCCAATCCCATTATTTTACAGATTAGGAGTCTGAGGCCTGGGTAAGTGACTTACCTAGGGTCACGGTGACATTCGAACCCAGGTTTTCCTGACTTGAAGTCCAGTGGTCTATCCACTGTATCACTCAAAGACTGGGTTTTCCTGAAGTTGGCTCTATTCTATCTACACTAACTGGAGATAGTCGATAGAATTAACTTTGCTTTTTCCACAGCCAGCTGCACAAACTGGAATTTGTGTATCTAGCATTTGGGAATGACCCTGGAGGGCTCAGTTAGGATCAGGTGGCTGGTCCCTCCCCAGCCCAAGGGTTTGAAACAGTTCTGCGGCACATAGCTGCCCCCCACCCAAGTCCGCAGAGTCCCCCTCCTTGGTCTTGCCTCCATCCCAGTGTTTCTTACAAATCTTAGCAGTTACACCTTCCTCCCCTCCCCGCTGCAGCCAGTGGCTTCCTTGCTATTTGCGGTAAATGATGAGTTTCTATCTCCCACCTTTGTGATGCCCTCCTTCCTTATGCCCTGCTCCAGCAATCCCTGGCTTCACATCCCTCCTCCCCATTCCCTTCTCTGCACTCACAGCTCCTTCCCCAGTGTGGGATCTGACCCGCTCAGGTCCGGCTGTTGCAGCCGCCTGTTGGTTGGTCCCCCT